GTTGCATCTATGGAACGATTGACAAGAGTCCGAATCATCAGTCCAACTGTAACATAAAGCATATAGTAGTAAGATAAAGTAGCTTCTGGCACTTGACATCTCTGGCACAGGTTGACGCCTCTAGCACAAGTACATCTCTGGCACAAGTAGGTGATGTACCTGTGCTAGAAATGTACCTGTGCTAGAGGCGTCAACTCTGTAGAGATGTCAAGTGTGCCAGAAGCCTACTCTTACTACTCATATTAAATTGAACTCGACGTGAAAAGTTTTCGATACAAGTTTTCTTCCTGTGGACTGATACATATTCGAAACTTTAGCTAAAGAAAATAAGAAAACAATAGTCATATTAATAATTGTTCATTTTTTCTAACCCTTCCACTAATTAGACTTACGAATGTAAATTTCGCAGTCAGAATCATGTATGCTAATATTCATCTATGATTCGATAGATAGTTATTTAAGAGATACCCGCAGCATATTGTTTTACTTTCGTTATTAATAATTAATTATTGATTGTCTTTGAAAAGGTTAAAAGACAAATTAATTGTATACTGTTAGTTTAATAATTAGTTATGGGAAAACAACCATTCTTGTCCCTGACTTTCATAATGAGAAACGATTGACAGTTACATTTGTTCATGATAATTAAAAAACTGAGTGAAATTTAAGTGCAACTTTGAAACATTATGAAAATTTCCATCTGTTGTTTTCAATAGCGAAATCGCTCAAATTGACTGAATTACTGTCACAATTTACAGATCGCGTTGACATTCGTGTTGGTTAATTGACAGGTCATCCGATTAATGCCAAACAATCAAACGATAACAATGATGATCATTTTTCCGTTGGAAAGGTGTCGATCACGATTCCAAGTAATGCGTGTTAATAACAATCGATCGCTGTAAGTATTTAAGGCGGAAAAAAATTCTCAAACTAAATCAGAAAACAAATTAAATTGTTCAACTAACTACAATTTACTCTCATTAAACAATCAAAATGAAATCCTTCTTCTTCATTGCTTGTGCTTCACTTGTAATTGCTTCTGCAATCGGTGTAACAATTAAAGGAGACTCTTGTCCAACTCCTACAGTTCCTAAGGGAATCAATTACTGGTCCTTCAGCTATGTAAGTAAATATTTGAATGATTATAATTTAATTTTGATTTCTAAACTAAATTAACAATCTTTAGTTCACCAAAATCACTGGTTGGTATGAAATTGGTCGAACCGATAAGACTGTTCCAAACACCATTCGAAACACCATTGAAATCAATCATCTCTACCCCGGAAAAGTTTACATCTTGAACAAGGGTACAGTTAAAGAACCGTAAGTATCTAATTAATCCTAATAAAAATGAAAATTAATAATCAAACGTGTAACCAATGCTAGTGAAAGCGTCGTACTTTGGGATAATCAAGTCGATTTGACTGAAGGTAATTTCTCTGGTGGATCTTATTATGATATAATTGAAGATGAAGAGCCCGTTTCATTCAACATCAATCAAGGTAATTAGACATTAATTATTTAAACTAATGAAAGTAATCAAGCCATTAATTAAATAGACGGTAAACAAGCCACTTTCTGGATGCCCTACTACTCGAGGACTGGACCGCTGTCTTGGCTTCTTGCTCATCAAATGGTGATGGTACTCTTGATGGTTAGTTGAACGATTTAATTGTTTTACTGTAGAGAAATTAACTAATCATTTGTTTTGTTTTGTTTCTTCATCAATCGACAGTCAAAGCTTGGTATGTGTCTCGAGCACAATCGAAGAAGATCTCAAGTGAAGTCCAAGAAATCGCCAAATCATTGACTGGTAAAAGTTTCGTAGAAACTTGTCAACAAGCTTTATGTTAATCATTCAACTATTTTAAATCAAAATGTATTGTTTAATTAACGCGAGTAATAAACTTTAATCGTATTCAGCATTGATAAATTAGTGCTTTCTCATTTATCAAAGAGTTGATAGTTTTATCATAAGTAGATTTGTAATGTTTTCTAGAACTACATGTATGAAAATACTGTAGTAATTAAGATATTTAGATCTATATGCCAGCCATGAGAAAACGATTCAGTTAATAATTTCATGATAAACGTTCAAATATGTTCCAAGTAATTAACTTATAAGAGTGTTCGTCACGATAACTCGAGAACCAAAGGTTATAGAGTTATAGAGGTTTTATATATGGATTATCTCTTTAAACTTTCAATCACAAAATTAGGTAAAGTAAATTCAAATGAATTGCTTCAATTCCACTCAATCAAATCGAAACAGAATGAATTGGAATCGGATAGATTTCACTATCCAGGAAAGAGATGTGATTTGTTAAAATAAACAAGAAAAGTGTGTAATTTAGCTTCTTGTAGAAAGATTGGAACCTAAACTGAAACCCAATAGATGGAGTAATTCTGGTGAATATGGAATATCTGACTTGATGATTGCAGCTTGTTTTTTAATTGCCATAAAATCTGATGAAATATTTTCATCATTTTTTAATTAGTCAAGTTGATTAAAGCCCAATGGATAATCCATTTAAAGTGCCTACGACTTTTTTTGCTTGGACTAGTTATTCAAATCTTCCAGTATTGTTTCAAGTTATCAAAGATGTTGAATCTTATCGTGATAAATTGCTTACGGAAAGATAATTAAGTAAAGTCTCTTTGGATGAGCTTAGTTCAAAGGATCGAATCGTTTCCCAGAGGAAGATTGATGTTTCCAAAAGAAAAGGTTGAAATTGTTAATGAGGCTCTGAATGGACCACAAAAATATATCGATGAAGCTTCGCATGAAGTTTGGCTGCTGATGCAATGTCCAAACTATCGGATGGCGAAAGATTATAAAAGTCTTAAATTGTCTTTCTGATCGATACCTTACTTCAGATTTATCAATATAATCCTATCTTTTATTGAGCAATTTCTAAAATCTTGTGCAACCCAATTGGATAAATTAGATTCTGGTTACAAATCACCTTACGATTTCTCATCAGTTATTTATGACCTAATGAAATCTTTGGAAATCAAGTCAAATTCTGAATCTCATATCCAAGTGAAATCATTGCTTAAACTTGTCCAAAGTGAATTAAAATTCATCAACCAAGCAAAGAGATGAATGAAGGACAATTAATGTTAATAAAAATCTATTGTGATAAACTTAATCTCCTAAATGATGAATTATCATCAATTGACATGGAAACGGAAAATAAATCAAAGCAAACAGCTAAGAAACTACGAGATATTGTTAATGTAACTCGATTAATTGTTAAGGAAACGTTTGGGTTGCTTGTCGCTCTAAAAACTCGCGATCAGTTCAACGAAAGTCACGAGATATTTGCAACAATCAATGAGAAAGGGGCTGATTCTTTCGATGATGTTATTGATGACATGGAAGCTAGTAAAAAGAATTGGATTGAAAGCAAAGTAGTAAATAGAACGGATGAAAGACTGTAGACTTGCGACTCTTAGAAGATACAATATTTACATCAAACAACTAAAGAAGTTGTCATCTGTGAAATCACAACTAGGATCAGATTGGATAATTTTAGGAATGAAAAATATCACAACGAGTTTTAATAAGGTTCGCAAATCGTTAGCAAAAATGTCAAATAGCGCTTATTATTTAACCAGATCAACGGTTGATGTTCCTGGTGGATTTATAAGAGACGATATAATTTACAAGGAATTGAACTCGAATCCACATCAGTAGTTTTCAGTAGTCTACAGTAGTTTTGATCCATCTAATCAAGTATATTCACTATCTTAATACATCTCTATAAGAGGTTTGTAAAAAAGTCCTTCGGCCAGTTCATCAAATAGATAACATGTAACTACTTTTCTCAAAATTACAAATATTACATGTAAAAGTAAAACAAAAGTCTTAAAACTTATCCCCCCACAAGTATTAATAGTATCTTCAATAATTTACTTCGAATTTTCCGCTCAACTTCAGAGAAAACATTCAATAGGTCTAAACTGATCTAAATTCATCAGAATACTAACTAATTAAGTAAGTAATTAACAAATGACACGTAAGAAAATTGATGTAAAGAGTTTTCTTGTGTTCTGAACCCTCGAGATTATAAATTTTACTATTAATAGATTCGCTTCGCTATTATTATCCCGAAGATCGCGTTTACTACCTGTTGTGCTTACCCAACGTGTCAATATTCATCTATGAATTGATAGATAGTTTTTTAGAGGTACCATAAGGCTGATTAGTGAGGGTATGATTTAAAAAGAATGAAAAAATATTAGTAATCATAATATGTACCAAAATGTAATATTTTCCATCAGTATTCAATAATTTTCTTTGTGCAAACTTAATCAAACAAATCAATTTCCTATTAATGGTTAGATATGGAAAAACAATCATTCTTATCATGAGTTATGATAGTGAAAAACGATGAAGGTTACATTTGTTCATAATTAGAAACCAAGGAAAATTTAGGTACAATTTGGAACATATTATTATCGTCACAATTAACAAATCATGTTGAAAAATCATACAATTAGTGCTAAACAATCAAACGATAACAATGGTTATCATTTCTTGGAAAGTTGTAGATTACGATGTGAAGTAATAAATGTCGATAATAATCGATCGCTGTAAGTATTTAAGGCGGAAAAAAATTCTAAAACTAAATCAGAAAACAAATTAAATTGTTCAACTAACTACAATTTACTCTCATTAAACAATCAAAATGAAATCCATCTTCTTCATTGCTTGTGCTTCACTTGTAATTGCTTCTGCAATCGGTGTAACAATTAAAGGAGACTCTTGTCCAACTCCTACAGTTCCTAAGGGAATCAATTACTGGTCCTTCAGCTATGTAAGTAAATATTTGAATGATTATAATTTAATTTTGATTTCTAAACTAAATTAACAATCTTTAGTTCACCAAAATCACTGGTTGGTATGAAATTGGTCGAACCGATAAGACTGTTCCAAACACCATTCGAAACACCATTGAAATCAATCATCTCTACCCGGAAAAGTTTACATCTTGAACAAGGGTACAGTTAAAGAACCGTAAGTATCTAATTAATCCTAATAAAAATGAAAATTAATAATCAAACGTGTAACCAATGCTAGTGAAAGCGTCGTACTTTGGGATAATCAAGTCGATTTGACTGAAGGTAATTTCTCTGGTGGATCTTATTATGATATAATTGAAGATGAAGAGCCCGTTTCATTCAACATCAATCAAGGTAATTAGACATTAATTATTTGAACTAATGAAAGTAATCAAGCCATTAATTAAATAGACGGTAAACAAGCCACTTTCTGGATGCCCTACTACTCCGAGGACTGGACCGCTGTCTTGGCTTCTTGCTCATCAAATGGTGATGGTACTCTTGATGGTTAGTTGAACGATTTAATTGTTTTTACTGTGGAGAAATTAACTAATTATTTGTTTTTGTTTTTGTTTCTTCATCAATCGACAGTCAAGGCTTGGTATGTGTCTCGAGCACAATCGAAGAAGATCTCAAGTGAAGTCCAAGAAATCGCCAAATCATTGACTGGTACAAGTTTCGTAGAAACTTGTCAACAAGCTTTATGTTAATCATTCAATTATTTTAAATCAAAATATTTTGTTTAATTAACGCGAGTAATAAACTTGAATCGTATTCAGCATTGATAAATAAATGTTTTCTCATTCATTGGAGTGTTTGTAATATTGGAAAATTTGTTTAATATTATCCCAAGCAGATTCATTGTGTTTTCTAGAACTTCCAGTATGAGAGAAAAATAAAGTGAGAATTAACGTAAGTATTAAATACTAGCCTCGTAAAAACGGTTCAGTTACTAATTTCATGATAAAAAATACTGATAAATATCAGCTCTAAATATTATTGATGTTCCAAGTAGTTGAACCTCCATTTGATCAGAGATCTCTAAATAGAGTGTTTGATCCAACTTAGTAGTTGATCAAACTTTTGTTAATATTAACATTAGAATATCAATCCGTAAATGTAAAATAAACATTAACTCTTTACATTTAACCATAAATAATTTATCATGAGATCCAGATACAGTTTCAGCAACTTGGAATTATTTCAAAGGACTTTTAAAAACTAGATCAATTTTTGGTGTTAGACTGTAGTTGTAATAATTAGATATCCAGTTACATGGATATTAATTTTTCTGATTTGGCTGTCAAATTAACACACAGAATCAGTTGAATAGTTTATGGCCAACAAGAAACCGATTGTCTAATTCACTAAAAAACTTCTTTCCATTCAATTATAATCACCATCGTACCGAATTCATTCACTTAATGTTTCACTTTTATTATTGATCTATTAATAGTTCTTGATAATAGCTTTGAAGTAGCATCATTGATAAAATATCTCAGCTGGATAACTTGTACTGAAATGGTTGCAATGTAAGTTAATTTGTTTGACGACTGGTTTTTAACCATATTGATATTATTGCAGAAAATTTATTTTTTATTAATATTTCAATTTGCAAATATGTTGATTTTTGCACAGTTAATTTTCATAATTATCAATTGTTGTTGACAGTTAAAGTGCACAGTTACCAAAATTGGTGATCTTTTTCTTGACTTCTCTCCAAGGTGTATTGTCAACAATTAACTCATTGCAAGTTTTTATTGGCTATAATTGAAATAAAAAACAATTATTAGATTATAAAGAAATAAAATTATCATTTAGATCATTTAAGTTATTAAAATTACCTGTTTTTGATCAATTGCACATTTGTCCAACGCGGCTTTCGAGTCCTTGAGACAAGTTGTTGTGGCCAAATCGAAAGTTAATCTCACATATTCTTTCATCAATATATAAGCCTCTCGAACTTTAACTGGTTTAACCAAATATTTAGACGACGAAGCTGAGTTAATTTGATCGATTACGAATTGAATATCATCTAGAACCATTGGATCAGTCACTGAAATCGGCTTGAATTCATCACCGACTTTCGCTTTCTTGCTTTGCGCTGGATGATCAATAACGAAACAATTAACTGAAATTATGAAGATTGTAATTAAAATCAATGTAGTTAGTCGTTGGTTGTACATTTCGATACTTTTCTATTTTCGTTGATTAAACAATTAATGAAGTTAATAATACTTTGAGTAATAATGAAATTAGTTGAATATAATTCTATCCTTTTATACAAAAAATCTGAATAACACCTCAAAATTTATTTGATTTCTGATTTAATAATCATACGATGTATTGGGCTATTTACATCATTGATTTCTCGAATTATTTTTTCAATATATCAATCAAACAATTAGATTATTTATATTTTGTTAACTAAAAATATTGATAATCTTTTCTGTTATTGGATTGTTACATTTTATCACCATCATATAAAAAACCGTAATCACAACAATATGATTGTTAATAATTGACGAAAGCAATGATTGCTCTGTTCAAACGATATGATTTCTTTTATCTCTGCTAATTTTGATACTTATTGTTTGATTGATTACTGATGATTACAATGATTGTTAACCTTAATCTGACTTAATATGAAGTTAATCCAATTTGAAATTTTAGGGTGGCTCGCATTTATTAAGATATTAATTGAGAAAAATTACACAATTAAATGTAATTAAAGGTGAGAATACTGATGCAAAGATGTATTCAAGTATTACAACCAGGATCAAATCTGGACGTTAATTATATTTTTTGCATCTATTGATATTAGTACTAGTAGATGATCTTAAAAATCCAGTTAATTGTAACGATGACTTTTTTTCATTATGCGTGGATTGTTCATTCATGATCTACTGCTAATTCAGGTCAGTTTATCTACCAGAGTTTTGAATTGATACTTTGATGGTAGGAATTTTAAGAAATTTTGAGGCATTTGATTTACGGAGACGTTGAAGCTCGTGATCCATTTGAGGTGAAAATGGCCTTAAAAAAGCTCCAATTGATCTGAGATATCTACGAATTCGATCATTCGTGTCAAAGAATGTATTAATAGTTCTTGTTTGTTGCTGATTGTTAAATTCCTATTTGTGAGTGAGATTAGTGAATAAAGGACATTGGGCAAAAAATTATACTTTTGAGTTAAGAGTTAGGACTTTGGGTATTTTTAAAGCCAAAAATATGAAGTCTAAATATTTTTTTATGATCTGATATGTAGTTTTCGAGAAAATCAAATTCGAAGTTGAAACTTCTGGCAACTTTTTCCTAAAAACGATGTGCTTAGATCATGAAATTTTTATTTGAGCGACAACTTTTCTTGACCTTACAGAAAATTAGATTTGTTTTGGTGAAAAAAATATTCAAAGTGGCAAATCCATAGTTCCGTTGTATTTAATTGGCCTGATTAGTTCTAAGAGACGATAAACTTGTTTTTAAGACAATCATAGCATTGGTCAAAATTGTGGATGCAGGACTTTTTTGATTGGATTTGATGTACAGTTTTGCTAAATGAGAGAGTGGCTTTTGATCTTCGAGGGCTACGAAACTACAACATCCAGAGATGTGTAAACAGGTTAAATCAACGACAGGCCGCTGGATCAAAACTTTTAACCAGTACTTTTTATTTCAAATTAGATTTGAATTAATAGTGAAAAATCAATAAACAACTTTGATAAAATGACTAGATTGAAATAATGGAAATGATTAATCAGATGTTTTGATGCAAATGATATTTATTGAGGCCTCATTCTATTAAAAATTACAATGATAAATGTAATCGGCATAATTTTTACAATCAACGATCATTTAAGTGTTTATCCTTGAACAATCGAACAAAAAATTAAGTTTATCAGATTTTATTGTTGATATGCATAACCAACTATCCATCATTTATCGGTGAATTGTTCCTTCAATATGCTGAATATACAGGACTGAATTATTGATAGATAAAAATAACATTTAGTTAAAATAATCAATGTTGTTTAATAATTTATCAATTCTCACCCGATACTTTTTGAAACCACCAGTAACTGTTTTTTGCTTGCATCTAATGGACTTGATTAAAATTGAACGCACAATTAGTCTCTAAACTTGAACAGTTTACTCGAAAATTCAGTTCATTGTGTTTTTTTACCTCTTCAAATGCTTTCGAGTTGATTTCAATGCCAGAACAAGCCTTGGTCACTTCTTCGTTTGTCCTGAACGGTAAAATATTTTCACATTTGACCAAAGCATCGTAAACATTTTCGGGTAGATTATTTTTCTGGTAAAAAGTTTAGACATCGATAGGTTAATTTTGAAAATGAATTGTGATTGTGAGACTGGATCGGTTTGTACTTAGTGTGGTTAAACACTGGAAGGTTCACAATTAGAATAGTTTAAAGGTTTATTAATTGAAAAGGTAAAGGTGTTGAAAGGTTACATGTATGTACATCTCATATCTCTCTTGTTGGTGTGTTGACCAACTCAATATATACTAAGGTGTCAAGGTGGAAAGGTTACTTCACCTTGACTACCAATCATTAAGCAATCAAACAAAGGGGGAAGCAAGGAGTTGATTCCCTGCACTGTTGGTTAGTTGGGTAGTTGGTTACGTCACTGCTCGGGTAGACTCTCACACCCTCCCTTAACCAGACCCAACTCGACAGTAAATTTGTCATGTTTCGCTCGTGGAAGAGCCTTGGTCAGGATGTCAGCTGGCATATCCTCAGTCGCCAAGTGTCTCACTTCGACTGTTCCATCCTCAACGTGTTGGCGGACGTTGTGAACCCTAATCTCAATATGCTTGGTTCTCTTGTGGAATACTGGATTGTCGCATAGTTTGATAGCTGATGTATTGTCATTGAATAGAACGATCGGCTTCTCGACTATTCCAATGAACCCGACCTCACCAATCAACTGTTTCAGATACACAGCTTCATTCACAGCTTCTGAAATCGCGGCGTATTCAGCTTCAGCGGAACTTTGAGCTACTAAATTCTGCTTGCGTGACGACCAAGACAGACTAGCATTTGACAATTTGAAAATGTAACCTGTGTAGCTACGTCGATCTCCTTTATCTGTGGCCCAGTCAGCATCGACGTATCCAACAAGGGACTTATCACTTGTCCGGTTAAATTCCAAATTCGTCTCTGAGGTTCCCTTGAGGTATCTCAATATCCTCCTCGCCGCTTGCCAATGTTCAATATGTGGCTGTTGATTGAATTGTGCCAACCTATTGACAGCAAATGTTATGTCAGGTCGAGTGTTCAGTGAGATGTGAAGCAGCGAACCTATCAAGCTGCGATATCTCGACCCTTCGACTTTCTCACAATCACCATTACAAGTCTCCAAATCAACATTAGCTTCCATTGGAGTTGAAATTGGCTTACAATCACTCATCTGTTGAGCCTCCAAAAGCTTAGTAATAGCATATGATTGAGATAGACAGATCTGATCAATTGACATCCTCGATATCTCAATACCCAATATGTATCTCGCTGGTCCTTTGTCCGAGATTTCGACCTCTCGAGCCAGCAACTCTTTGATTTTGTTGATTGTAACTTCTTCACTTGCAGCGATCAATAAGTCATCGACATATACTGCTAATAAGACTTCTCGATTGTTCATCTGGCCAGTATAGAGACAATGTTCAGCCTCACATCTTCTCAGACCAATCGAAGTCAGGATTGAATGTAATTTCAGATTCCATTGTCTTCCACTTTGTTTAAGTCCATATATCGACTTGTTCAAATAACAAACATAATCAGGTTTATCTTCGTTTACAAAACCATCAGGTTGTTCCATGTATATCTCTTCCTCTAAGTCTCCATTCAGGTAAGCTGTCGAGACGTCGACTTGATGAACAATCCAACCTTCTTGAACGGCCAAAGCAAACAATAAACGTAAAGATTCCGGTCTCACAGTTGGTGAAAAAGTTTGATTATAGTCAATGCCGAACCTCTGACTAAATCCCCTCGCAACTAGTCGAGCTTTGAACTTATCAACTGTACCATCTTTATTATGTTTAACGGCAAAAACCCATCGAGAACCAATCGATCGACGGTTTGGTGGAAGTTTACGCAGGTCCCATGTTTTATTCTTTCTAATTGAAGCCATCTCAACTTCCATTGCTCTCATCCACTCTCCAGAGTTCTCGGATGACAAAGCTTCTCTCACATCCTTTGGTATGGGGATAGAATTTTCTTTAATACTTGACAGTACATCACTGGTCGACCTGCGGACTTGTGTACGAGTATTATAGATGTGACTTGATTGTTCTTGGATCTTCTTTGGAGCTTCTGTTCCCTTCCTCGGACGTCCACGTCCTCGTTTGGTTTGACTTGTTGGCATGTTCGAGTCGTCACATGTTGAAGTCAGACTTGCTTCGTTATCAACATTCCTCGTGTCTTCATCAATGACTGGTTGGTCGTCTGGTATAGTGGTAAGATCCTCTTGATCACTGTTGGCTTCCTCTTTGATATCATTAAGATCAAATGATATTGGTGATTCTTGATCTTTGGAGGTACTGGAATAGCTGACTGATCGGTTGATCGGTTCGATAAAACTAACATCTCGGCTATATTCGACATGTTTAGTCTCCAAGTCAAGCATTCGATAGGCCTTCTTTGTATCTCCATACCCAACAAGTATCATTTCCTTGCCTTTCTCAGCGAACTTATGTTTACCTGTTCGTTTGTCCAAAACGAAACCTTTGGAGCCGAACACACGAAGATGACTCAAATTCGGCTTTCGACCAGACCAAAGCTCGAAGGGTGTAACCTTCTCATTGTTCTTGTTGATAACACGATTTCTAATGTAAGCAGAAAATGAAACAGCCTCTGCCCATAATCTTAGATCCATCGACCCATCCGACAAGCAGCTTCTCGACATCTCAACTAATGTCCTGTTCACCCGTTCAGCAACCCCATTTTGCTGTGGTGTGTAAGCTACGCTTGTTTCGTGACGCATACCTCGGGTCTTGAAATATTGTTTCAATTTTAGGTATTCACAACCATTGTCAGTTCTCAAGGTCTTCACCTTTTCACCAGACTGACGTTCCACTTCACTATGCCAACTCTTGAACATGTCGACTGCCTCGTCTTTGAATTTCAACATGTAAACCCAAACAAATCTAGAGTAGTCGTCCACGAATGTTAAGAAATATCTGGCCCCTCCAAGTGACGGTGTTTTGATTGGTCCACACAAGTCCGAGTGCACAAGCTCAAGTCGCTTGGTTGTACGTGTTGAAGATGAATGGTAAGGTAATTGAGAGGCCTTACATTTCAAGCACGTGTCACACTGTATAAATTCACTTGTGTCTGTGGTGACTCCTTCAACTGCACCACACCTTATCAATTTTTCAATGTCTCCGATGTTCAGGTGGCCGAGTCGTCTATGGAGGAGTCCAACATCGACTTGTCCACTGTGGCAACCATCCAAACGGGCCAATCGACTTTGCTCGATTCTCTATTCGATCCCCGAATATCACTTGACATCCATGTTCAACAGCACGAGCAACAGAAAAGTAATTAACCTCTAATTCTGTTATGAACAATACATCGGTCAACGTGATTATTTTGCCATTGATGTTTAATTTAACTTCACCAACACCGGAAGCATCCAGCTTTCGCTCATCGGCCAAGGCAACTGATCGACCTGTCGATCTCTCAAGCCGACTGAAGTAGCTCCGATCACAACATACATGACTAGTAGCTCCACTATCTAGAATCCATGTCGACTTGTCCATCTTATCACCACTGAAGGAACGAAGCTGTAACACATTATCATACTTCTGTTTATCTCCCTTCTTAAGAGGACACTCATTGGCTTTGTGACCAATCTCCGAGCACTTGAAACACTTGAATCGACGTTTTCGCTTGTCGACCTTCTCACCTCTCGAAAGCTTCAACACATGAGATGTAACCGCGTCACCTGATTTCCTTTCTTCCTCTTCTAACAGTTTGATTTTCAAAACCGCAACAGGTGGCAAACTGTCCCTTGACGACATTGCGACAACGAAGTTTTCATATGCCTCACCAAGGCTCAGTAACAATAGCACAGACAAACATAGTTCAGGTAGTTTGATATCCAGCGTGGCCAATTGGTCGGACAGCTCAACAAACGAATCAATATGTTCTTGCATCGGTTGACTTTGTCGTATCCTCAACGTTACCAGCTTCTTAAAGCACGAAACAATACTCGCTGGTCCAGTCTTTATATGAGCTTTCTCAAGGGCTAACCAAGCTTCCTTAGCTGACTTGCTCATTTTGACCAGTCGAAGGTTCTTCGGTTGGATACTTAACGTGATCAGGGCTAAAGCACGTTGGTCATTGGATACAAAGTCAGTTGCCTTTTCATCTGGCTTCTCAACTACTGACCATAACTGTTGATGAATGAGAACACTCTTCATAAGGGTTGACCAGGTCTCGTAGTTGTCATCGGTTAGTTTCTCAATGTTAAGAGCATTAGACATATTCACAATTTAAACAGAAAACACTTTAAATATAAACTAATTGATGGTACGAACCACGCTCTGCTACCATGTGAGACTGGATCGGTTTGTACTTAGTGTGGTTAAACACTGGAAGGTTCACAATTAGAATAGTTTAAAGGTTTATTAATTGAAAAGGTAAAGGTGTTGAAAGGTTACATGTATGTACATCTCATATCTCACTTGTTGGTGTGTTGACCAACTCAATATATACTAAGGTGTCAAGGTGGAAAGGTTACTTCACCTTGACTACCAATCATTAAGCAATCAAACAAAGGGGGAAGCAAGGAGTTGATTCCCTGCACTGTTGGTTAGTTGGGTAGTTGGTTACGTCACTGCTCGGGTAGACTCTCACAGTGATCACTACTTACCATACAATCATCTATATCTTCCATGTATTTCTCATGAGTCCCGTTAGTTACCAATTCCATAAAAGTTTTACAAGTATTATTCAAAGTGGGAAACTTCATCACAATTAATGAAAAAGATGAATCGATGATTAAAATAACGAATAAAATTGATTTAATCATGATCAGTTTGGTTGATAAACTGGTTAAGAAGATTAATTGAAATATGAATTTTATATCAAACTATTGATTCTAGACTTTGTAATAATTGATTTTAACAACTGATTAAATAGAATTTTATTTGAAATTTGATTAATTTGAACAATTCTTTTGAATTGATTATTGTGAGCTCTTATTTGAGTCAGAAGTAATTTTTTATAAACAAAATTGACAATTTATATTGAATTAATTTGATTGATCACATAATTAACATTGAATATTTTTAGTTTCCCATAATTGACATGATATTAAATGAAGACGAAAATTGTGAATATTATTTGCTTCTCTTTCAGGCCTAAGTTTCACATATTAATCAGATCTCATGGTGTATTGGAAACTCTCCTTGTAAAGTTCAATTTTAACGAGGACGAAGTTAATATGTTGCTTCATAATACAATTGGACCAATGGGTCAGACCCTGGAATCATTTCTACAAAGTTGAATTTAGTCCAATTCATAAAATCGATAAAACGAAAATTTCATAAGACTATTACATTACCAGTGCACATATTACACTTTGATGGAGCCCCTTTCTATCTCAGTGGTTAATTGATAAAATTATCGCCGATTTAAATCGCATGTCTTTAGAAAAGAGGTGTTCCGATCTCAGACTTTCGGTGGGTCCATCGATTTGATCAAGTTTTATCGAACTTCTTGTGGTTTTTTATTGATAGATCGTTTGAAACTCTAAATGAATCGCCTTTTCTACCTGAAAAGCATTCTAATCGCGCAATATATTAATAATTGGTCTATTTCTTAGTTTTCATCAAGTCAAAACAAATTATATTCTCTTTTATTAATAATTTTACTTTTCATTTTTTGTGATCGCATTAATGCGTTCGGTTAATCAGTGATGTCACGTTCACTGTTTAATTAATTGAGTTAATAAGGTGCGATCTCAATTTTGGATTGAGCACAGGCCAATTCTTCACCATCGGCTGATTCGTAGACGTGGAATCGCATGTCAGTGACCATCTGAGAATTGGATCAAAATTGTAATGTGATTGATTAAAAGTAATTTAGTTGATTTTCAGTTACTACGGGTGGAAACCAGCCGAAAGTTTCCATCTCGACTTTGAAGTGGTTTGCGACATTGGCCTTCAATGGACATTCAGTATTCAAGCGTCTTGCGAGAGACCAGGATATTCAATATAAGAATATCCCATTTAACCTGAATGGAAAGAGTCGGTTTCTCAGCGGAAATAGCTAGATTTTCATGAATTGAAATGAATAATTTGTAAATCACTGATCGCAAAAGGATAACGATAATACACTTACTTGGGATGATTTGACCGGTAAAAACAACATCCGTATTGGGCCTCAGAATACAAATATCAGAGTCGCAAGGGTCCATATCGAACGATTCAATTGTACCGGAGGTAGCTAAGATGGCAATTAAATTTAATTGATTGTAGGTGATTAATTGATTGGCCAATTAATATGAATCAGTTTAATACTTACAGTCACATTTTGTATGCACGATATCTCGAGCTGAAGAAACAGCTAAGAAAAGGCAAAGGACAATAATTGATTTGATCATAGTTATTAAAGATTCGATTTGTTTAGTTATGTTATATGTTCTGGTTAGAATTGAATGAAAGTAAATAAAGTTTTTTGTCCCTTTTTATAATGGAACCAACTTATGAACCTTGATATCAATATCTTTCTTAGATTGTTGTCTTTGGATTAGGAAAATTTATTGTTTTGATTGTTCATCAACTAATTTAATTATTTTTTAATCAGACTATTGTTTTCAAAATTGACAGTAAGATAAACGATTTACTATTATTGAATTTCCAAACTTAATGAAATAGATATCATCTAATTGTCCCCAACTTTATCAAAAAACAATTGAGTTAGTTGAACAATCAACGTCAATGAGTTCCCAGAATAAATAAAACAGAAAAGACTAAATTGATAATATTGTGTCAGAATCATTGATTTGTGACATTATAAGGACAGTGTGCAAAAATGGATCTTTAATTGAGACTGTAGATCAACAATGATAAATTTTTGCAAGTTAAATTCATATTTCCTTGGAAACTTTCTTTACCAGAATTTTATTTATCAATTTAATTAAGTAACTAGATTTTTTGACGTCTTCTCTGTGTTTTTAAAGTCTTACATCCGATATGAAACTTTAAGCGGGAAAAACAAATAATTTGTCAAAAGATATGATAAACAAATGAGAATCAAGATAAAAACTTATCTAATCGTCAAACACTATTATTGTAAACAATTAAAAATTGAGAGGAGCCAATAATTATCAATAGATTTCCAAGTAATCAGAAAACAATTAAAACTGTTCGCATTTGTTTCTCTTTCAATTTTATTATTAATATCTACTTTAAATGTCAGAATTCATATGCAAAACGAATTTCATAGGAAAGTTGATAACAATTTTAATTTTAGAGATAAAATAATCAAAAGTATCGAATAGATTTTTGTAGTGATATGATCACTAATTGAATATGTCCAAGGTAAACTTAGTGATAATATTAATGATTTGTTGAGAAAAAGGCGTTCTCGCCGTAAATGATATTAACTTGTCAAAGACGATCAGTTTAAACGCTCATTCAATTAAAAATAGTGAAAGTATTTACTATCTATTCAACTCATTCACAATTTAACAAAACGCTGTCGAGTTTTATTCACAAAACTTTCATCGTAACAAAGTTGAAAATGTTACTTTATTTTACTCGTTGTTCATTTTTCAGTCATTCACTCTGGTAATTCAGGTAAGTTCAAGTTGAAATCAATTAATTATCAGTAATTATTATCAATAGTTATTACTCCATTCAAATAATTTCCTAGCTTCCATATCAACATTAATGGACTTGCCTTTAAGTTTACCAAAGGGGAGTTATAAGATTCACGCAACATTAACAGACAAGGTACCAATGAACAATTGATTAAAGTTTAAATTGAAAATTAATCAACTAATTGATATTACAGGATACCGGAGATATTTATTCGATGCTTGAATTTATATCATCGAGATCAACAATTAATGGCGAGATTGTTGATACTCCTAAAATAAATTCAGTGTTTACCACTACACTAAGAATGAAAAGCTTGGGACAGTTATGAGCGTCAAGTGATTATGGGTAAAATAATTGATTGAAATTCATCCACCGAAATTGTGTTTACGCACACGTCGAAAAAGTCGAAAGACTGTTCAACCTGAAATCGAAAAGAAAGATAATCGTTTGATTAATATTCTTTCTCATTTTTAGGTACCGATTGTTTATTGTACAAGTTCAAGCCTTCTGATGAGTTTAAACTTCTTACTGGTGTAACAAAACGATTGACGAGCATGTTGATAGCTATGGGACCTTCGATACTTTATCGTCTTAGGCATAATTCAATATATTGGGTAATATTAAGATTCAATCAGCAAAATTTACAATAAAATTACTGATTTGATCAAAAATTTCATTAACTTGTCAGAAAGAGGCTGCGGATGAAAATGTGAGAGGTACAATGATGAAAAGTTTACGAGCAAATATCAACAATAAATTGAATATCACTTGTTATTACAAATGTAAGTTAGTTATCACTTGCTGGTCTTTTATTAATTTTCAACTTCTCCTGGCATTTTCCTTATCAAATCAGCTAACTTGGACCAAGAATCAGGCCTACAAGCACCGAGTCGAATTACGTTCAGTGGAAGTGACCCATCATCTGTATTGTTTTTAACGAAAGAAAATTTAATTTTGGACATTTTCTCTCAAGGCATGGACTCGACTAAAGATTTATCCAGAACTGTTAAGGTAAGATAACTCAACAAATGGCTACTTGATAACCAACTGATTAATCCACTTAATTTCACAGCCACTTCCAGGAGTCGGCTGTTCAGCTTTCTATGGAAATAGCGTACCAACTCCAACAATGAACTCCCACCTTGTCCACCTGATACTTTCGGAAACAATTACAAGCTCAACTACCACAAAAACTGTTAGCGAGGTAAGAGATTGTTCAAATTATAATGATAGGCAATTATTTGTTGATCAAATTATAATGTTCTAATCTCTTCACCAGATATATGCCAATGATAGACTCAAATTGGTGCGTATACAGAAACCTAATAGCAAATCGGAAGCTCTTTATGACTACTCACTTGGTCTAGTTTACCAATTTCAAGAGGGCGAGTCCTGTAAAGTTTCACCGGTTAAAAGAGGATCAATAGGTCTTAGTCAAGAGACTGGTCAGTTTCACTTGACAAGATTATTTCTTCTAGATGGAAATTACAAGTATTTGGGTAAAATGTATCTTGTAAGTAGAAAGACGCCTTTGCTAGTTGATTACCTGCAGAATTAGACATGATTAAGCGCTTTTGTTTTCCAGGAAAATCGGCCTGAGTTTGCGGCGAAAGTTTGGGAATCAATTTCTTATAATTCAACTGTTAATTCTGATAAATACGATAAAGTTGTCACTACCCAATACTTCACTGAAACCGTAAGAAAACCAATTTATGGTAAAATGAGTGTTAATGGAAGTGGAGATAAATGTGTTGGCCAATGAGAGGTTAGGGTCCATGAAAGTGTATGAGTAAGGTCTGATTTGTAGCTGAACTTGGCCTAGCTTGAGTTAACCAGGAATGACCGGACTCCATTTGCAAATGACTTAATCGGGTCAAATGAAACCTAATCTATGAAATATCGATATCGATATCGTGGTTAGTCGCGATAATTTAGATTAACTTCCAACCATTAACACTCATCTTGTCAATTAGTTTTTAGAATTAATCTAAATTTTGTTGGATAATTGTTTTAGGTTGACAATTATGGTTTCGATGGGCACCTGAGTAGTTAATAAAAGCCCTGTTCTGGGACAACCGTCCGCTCTGGGACAAACTGTCCGCTCTAGGACAACCACTCTGGGACAAAGTGTCCGTTCTGAGACAAAGTTTCGGTAAATGAATAAATGGTATTTTCTAGCCAACACCAACATTCGGTGACCATATTTAGAATATTTTAGAGTCAAATTTTTGGCGGCAAATTTAAATGTTATAAAATAAGTATAAAAGAGGATGAGCTGACGGTAGTCAGCTCATTCGATACGATGAAACATAACATGATTTTACGAATCATCATTTTCATAATTATAACAGTCATTTTACTACTAATATTCCGTGCAATATTTTTTGATAATATTAAATATGACCAAATCAATCTGGCCTGATTATCGTATTGATAATGTAGTTTCAATATGGTCAATAGGACCAATAGACATCAAAGTCGACAACACGAACCGAAAGAAAAAATTCAATGCTCAAGTTATACGAACTGATAATGGTGTGTTGCTTGTTTTTGCATCAGGAAAAATTACAGCCACAGGATTCAAAAGTCTACCTATGACAATTTTGACATTAATGGAAACGTTCCCTGATCGTGAAATAACATTCATTAGAATATCTAATATAACAGCATCAAGTTATAATTCAGTTAGATTCAATACTGAAAAACTGAAACACTTATATTGTAAGAAAGATACAAGTTACGAACCTGAATTATTCCCTCCAATATATACAAAACTCAATGGACTAACGATCATGTACTTCCATACTGGATCAATTGTAATTGTTGGAGCGAAAAGTGTCGAACAAATTGAAACTGCGATTGCGCAGTTCATGGACAGAATCAAATCACTATAAATAGAGATGATCAAGTGAATGAAAGTTCATTTGTCATTTGAACTTTGAAGAGTAAACATCAAAATGGGTTGTGTAATCTGGAGAACACATAGAATCTTTAATGGTCCAATCATCTTTAAAATTTCTCGAAGTGAAAAGTGTAATCGACTGGATATTAGATATAGTTATAATAGTTCACCAACTAAATTTGGAATATCTTTAACACCATCAGAATTTAAATTTGTATTTAATTTCTACAACAACAAGGACTTACGTAATGAACAAGCCTTCTTCTATGACGTGCAAATCAAGAGAATCGGGAGTGAGACATTAAAAATAATGAAAAAAGATTCTTATGTTCTAACTCCAATGGATTTCTGGAGAGAAGTTACACCATTTGTTCCTGCTGCTCTATTTTTGTTATCCAAGGATCTACCTATCAAACAGCTAATTGACTTATACATATTATCTTTATTAACAACTGAAGAGAATTTATTAGAACATAAATTCACAGCAATAAGAGGTAATAAAGTCGAGCCTGAAAAGTGTTATTTATTCAACCTAGGATTAGTTACTGCTGATGATTTACTCAACACTTCACTAGATGTCGCTGCACTCACTCGATTCGCTCAGTCCGATCCGAAACTTTTCTGCTCACTCGTCAAACTACAGTATAAATAGGGATGATCAAGTGAACACAAGTTCATTTGTCATTCAAACTTTGAACAGTCAACATGGAATATATTTGTGCTTATTTCGATACTCAAGGTATCTATGTTAATGGTACTTATCATCCACAAGAGGTTGCAATGTATGGTGATGATCATTTAATTCATGTGAAAGTCGGTAAATTTTGTGAATGTAAACCAACACCTAAAGAGGAAAAACAGATACAATACCTCGAGAAGTACCATCACGGATTAAAATATAATGGATTCACCAATGGTTTAAGTTATGATGAATTGGAAGCTTTATGTGTTACTTTTTACAGAGCTTGCAGAAACAAATCAAAATTAATTGTAGCCGTTCGATCAGTTGAAGCAGAAATTGTATTGAATAAATTCAATATCCCTCTAATTAATATCAACGGAACGTATGGTGCTTCATACAAACTCATTGACCAACTAAGACAACCTTGTTATCTCCATTCTCATTCTAACACAAACACAAGATGTTCACTAAATATTGTTCAGTATATGAAGAAACATATGGATTATGTTAAAGAACATGGAATCGATGTTATCGATAATTAAATTTATGTTAATCATTTTTCAAAATTTATATTAATCATTTTTTTTCCAAAAATTCATGTTCATTTTTTTTCAAAAATTCATGTTCATTTTTTTTCAAAAATTCATGTTAATCATTTTTTGTAAAATTTCTTTTTTCAAAAAATTTACGTTAATCATTTTCATCAGAAATATTCGTAAAAAACGTTTTTTCAGATTTTTCAATAATCTACTTAAGAATAGAAAACAATAAACAATTTAAAATCATCAAAATGCAAACTTTCTCAGTTTATTTACGCCATCCATTCACAATGATGATTGCTGGTCCAACAGGTTCAGGTAAAACGTATTGGATTAAGCAATTAGTATCAAACGTTAATAAATACTGTTACCCACCACCAGAAAAGATAACTTACTTTTACGGAGAATATCAGGAAATATTCAGTTCAATGCCGAATGTTGATTTCATTCAAGGTTTACCTGAAAATTTAATACAAAATTTGATGGTATAAAACCAGAATGGATAATTATTGATGATTTAATGTTTGAATCAACAAATTCAAAAGTAATAAGTGAATTATTTACTAAAGGATCTCACCATCGTAATTTATCTGTTATTTTATTAGTACAAAACTTTTTTACTCGTGGAAAAGAATCAAGAAATATATCATTAAATTCACAATATGTAGTTTATTTTAAAAATCCTCGTGATCAATCAATGATAGCTAATATCGGAAGACAGATTTTACCTGGTAAAGTTAAAAAGTTACAAGATATTTATGAAGATGCAACAAGAAAACCATATTCATATTTATTTTTTGATTTAAAACCTGATACACCAATAGAAACTAGATTTCTAACAAATGTACTTGATGAAGAACCATACATTACAGCATATTTAGTATAAGAAGTTTGATTCTTTTAGGTAATTAAAAATGACGGTTAAACGTGCACTCAAGTGTTATTCTTGCTTGCGAAAGCTAGCAAAGACAAAATCACATATCCAAGAAGAAAATCATTTCCAATTCACCTAAATCTATTTATCCAGTAATTACCGATATTGCTAAACAAATCTTGAAAGGTGTAATACCTTTAAAACCTAAACATAAAACCAAACTCAAACGGTATAAGAAAGATTTACGTCTTCTCACCAGTAAATCTACATTGAAACAGAGACAAAATCTGATTAATCAGAAAGGTGGATTCTTACCATTATTAATTAAACCAGCATTGACACTATTAGCAACAATTGCTGCAAATAAATTGTCGAAATAATGAATACAGTAACCCGAATGTACTTAGTTTCTGAAGATCAATATAAACGTAATGTTTTGAGACCTAGTGTAACTAGACGTATGTTGAATAAAAATTTACCAACTGAAGTCAAAGTTAAATTCATCAATAATATGTTGGCAAGAACAAAAGAACATAATCTCGAACATCAGAATTACCGTGGAACTGAATTTTATAATGAAGAGCAGCAATCAGAACCATCAGAATTTGAAAGTGCAGTTTCACATACAAATGATCGGACTTTAATTGATACTAAATCGGAAGACGATACATTACCAATCGAAAGATCAAGTCCATATCGATTACCACCAGAACCTGTAAGAGTTTCTCCGTATCCTTCAAACTCAAGAATGGATGCTAAAGATACACTAACAACATTAATCAGAGGTATACCTGGTTTAGTTACCGAGAAAGGGAAAATCACAAATGAAGCTGGAATACCTTCAAATGCAAGTAATATAGATGAAATTATTACTTACTTACGAACGGTTGGTGCGAAAACTAAATTCCCAAATGGTTCAAAAAGAGTATTAACCATGATAAGATTAAAGTATCCAAGTGCAATTAAACTAATTAAGAACGAGAAAGCAATTGAATTTATAAATGACTTAAAATGGGAGGACCTAGTATCGAACAAGAATTAGAAAAAATATATTATGATCCAGAATCATCTGGATCATTTGGAGGTATTAAAAAATTATATGATACTGCAAGAATTAAAATTTCCAATTTAAAATTCAATGATGTCGAATCATGGTTAAAAAACCAGGAAACATATAGTTTATTCCGTGAAAGAAAGAAACCATTCCCAAGATTACCTATTCTGGTTGATAAAGTCGATGAGCAATGGCAAGCCGATATTATGGATATGAGTTGGCTTTCAAGAGCCAACGATCAATATAAATATCTATTAGTTGTTGTTGATTGTCTAAGTAGATTTGCCTGGGCAATACCTTTAAAAGATAAATCTTCAAATTCAGTTATTAACGGATTTAAAGAAATATTCAAATCGAGAAAACCAGAAAAATTACAAACTGATCAAGGAAGAGAATTTGTTAATCAATATTTAAAACAATATTTACAAAAACTTAATATTAATCATTTCACATCAACTGATGATTTAATTAAATGTGCGATTGTTGAGAGATTCAATCGTACATTAAGATCCCGAATTTATCGTTATTTACATTATAAAAACAAACACAAATATATTGATGTATTAAATAAAATAATCAATTCATATAATAACTCATATCATCGAACTATTAAAATGACCCCGATTCAAGCATTAACTAACCAATCATTAGCTGTTAGTAATGTTTTTCGAGGTCAAAAGAAAAATAAAAAGAAACAAAAACCTTACCAAGTAGGAGATAGTGTTCGAATAACAAGAGCTAAAACTATTTTCGAGAAAGGTGCAACATCAACATGGAGTCGTGAAATCTATTATATAACTAAAGTTAAACATACACCTCAAGGGTATGTTTATCGTCTACGTGATTATGATAATGAACCAGTTACATCGATTTTTTATCATGAAGAGATCTATCCTGTGACTGAACCTGATTTATATAAGATTAATGAAGTTTTAAGAACTAGAATAAATCCACGTACTAAAAAGAAAGAATATTTCGTTTCATGGGTTGGATATCCTGATAAATTAAATTCCTGGGTTGATGCAATTGAAAATGTCGAATGAATTTGTT